TACTCTATTCTATACAGGTGCTGACAGTACACATGAAGGAATAAAATAGAATATACTCTTAGAAACATACGGATAGAATTTTGTGCTGACATCTATTTCAGGCTACCATGGAAAACACACTTGCCTTTACAGTGATGACGCCTTTCCTTCCAACCTTTTTCATTGCATCAGAAATTATGTTGCCAATTTCTTTGTCTCCATTTGCAGAAATTGTAGCAACCTGAAACGATCAAGTTACCTTTCCAAATTACAAGGTAGGTTAGTGTTCTCCATCAACTCCCCTCCTTTTCCTAGTAACTTCCAAATGGATACATCCATGGGGGGAGGGGACAACAGAGGAAGGGGGTTTTATGTTTTCAACTTATTATTTGGCTACATTATTTTCAAAAGACATGAAACATGCAATTATTCTTTTAAACAAAAACAGTGAATTAAAGAGGCTGACCCCATTATTTTGTTTTCCTTTGGCAAACATAGCAATACTACCACATACATACAAATAAGTCTTATAGCATACAGAAATAAAATAGCAGTCCATTAAGACTCGTGTCATGATCACTGAATTATTTTTAAATATTTTAGCAAGTATTCAGTAAGAAAAATGCTTCCATGTAGGTGATTGAGTAGTACTGTTATTCTGAAATTGGTGTATGATTTCCATGAAATGTTATTAAATATTTTACTTTACCACAAAATATTATGAAAAATCCCTACCTGAGCTATTTCTTCAGGGGTTGTCACAGGTTTAGATTGCTTCTTAAGTTCAGAAATCACAGCATCAACAGCTAACATCACACCTGAGTCAAGAATAAACATCATTACAATACTTATTCTCTCATGTCTACATGTCACATAAAAATTTTGATTTATGCCGAAACCAGTTTGGCTCAGTGGATAGAGTGTCGGCCTGCGGACTGAAAGGTCCCAGGTTCGATTCTGGTCAAGGGCATGTACCTGGGTTGCGGGCATATCCCCAGTAGGAGATGTGCAGGAGGCAGCTGATCGATGTTTCTCTCTCATCCATGTTTCTAACTCTCTATCTCTCTCCCTTCCTCTCTGTAAAAAATCAATAAAATATATTAAAAAATTTTTGATTTATATAAATGTTTTCATGCCTGAACAGCTTACACACTGCTTCTGTACCAGAATTTTTCCAAATCATATGGAGCTGGATGGCATGCACTGAAACAGGAACTTTAATCAAGTCTCACGATGCCAAAATATTTTGAAAATTAGACTAAAAGAATTGAGGTGTACAACTGGCAAAAATCTAACCATTCAACTCATTCTGTATAAATCATTCCCAATCCAATGTGCCTCTGGAAGGGGCACGTGTGGGAGGCAATCAAATGATGTGTCTGTCACATGGATCTCTCTCTCTCTCTCTCTCCCCCCATCCCGTAAACTCTCTCTAAAAAAAAAAAAGAAAAAAAAAATCAATGAAAAAATATCTCCACTCCTCTAGAGAGGACTAAAATTAAATAAATAACAAACAGTGGTCTAGCTTCCTGAAACAAGCAATAATAACCAAAATGCAGGCCAATAACAAAGTATGTGTTGTTAAGAGGTATCTCAGTTGCTTAGACTGTAGGTCAAGGTTGTGGGTTCATTTCCTGATCAGGGCACACACAAGCAGCCAATGAATGCATAAATAAGTGGAACAACAAAATCAATGTTTCTCTCTCTCTCTCTCTAAAATCAATTAAAAAAAAAAAAAAAAAAGAAGGAGAGAGAGAAGTAAAAATCTGCTTTAAAAAATCTGTGACATCCTGGGCGACTTAGCTGCTTATTAGGCCCTACTTACTAAGGTAAAGCATCAGAACTGTACAATCTCTCTCTGCTTAATCCCCAGAAGTTGACTGTTTTCAAGATACACAGTACATACTGTATCTTCCATTAAAAATATTAGCTTTCAGGGTGATGGGGAGACTGACAACAGGAAATGTCTTAGGAAATGTCTCATTTTCCTCCTTACCACCTTGTACAGTGCTCACCACACAGGGAGGCATTCAATCACTATTTGCTAAAGGAATATTCAGCATGAGAATTTTTGGGAAGAGAAATAAGAATCAACTTTCTAATTCAATGGACAGTTCAAACAATGTCTGACAATGCGGAGGCATTCCTACCTCTCCTGATTTCCACTGGATTAGCACCTTTGCTGATCTTCTCGAAGCCTTCCTTGGCAATGGAGCGTGCCAGCACAGTAGCCGTGGTGGTGCCATCCCCAGCCTCTTCATTTGTATTATTGGCAACATCTTGAACAAGTCTAGCGCCAATATTTTTATACTTATCTTTCAAGTCGATGGACTTTGCAACGGTCACACCATCTTTTGTTACTTTGGGACTTCCCCAGCTCTGTTCAATAATCACTGTTCTTCCCTGTAATTGCAGAGGGAAAAAGAAGGGGGAAAAGTTACAGAACCACACACTTGAAAGCCTCAACATATTATCAGATCTGCAGCATAAACCTCAAGGGCAAGTTCATCAATGAACTTAGTTTAAAGAAAAACACCTTGTTGTTGTCAAGTGCATAATTTTCGATAAGGTATTCTAGAAGATAAAAATCCTAGAGACTAAAGGATGTTATAAAACAGGAGCATTTTAGATCTTCCTGGCAACTATAATCAGTTATGCTCAAATAAACTCATAAAAACTCTAAAAATAATGAAATTCTTCACGTTACTTATACTTCAAGTTTTCCCCAGTGCCTGCTACCTTGAAAGTCATGTGAAAACTTACTTTTAACTCGCTTTAAAGTGTAGTTACTAAAATATTAACTGCAAGGCAAGCACAGTCACTCCTGCAGGGCCACTGAACATTAAATATTTCTCAAGTATGCTGCAGAGTATTGGCAGCTTTTCGTTTGAACCAAAGCTATTTGGGAGGCATCCAATGCCTTATTTTTTTTCTTAATTCTTTATTGTTTAAAGTATTACATATGTCTCCTTTCCAATGCCTCACTTATACAGTTTGGATCACTTCGATATTTGAATTGTTTTCAAACTAAAATGAACCATCACTCCACTGTGCACAACCGTCAAAGGCCTCTTCAATTTATTACTACTCACTCGCCAGTCTCATGTTAAGCAAGACAAATTTTCAAATGTGCTTTGGAACAGAAGGGACAGCAGAAAAAAGTAGGTAAAACTAGAACCTTCAAGAACGTATTTAGGTATTATAGGAGATAAGTGCCATCCTTCCCTCTATGCTTGCTATTTGCTGGGAAACAATCCAAAATTTAACAAAAGCTGGCAAGCAAGGTGAACCCTACCTGGAGTTTAAGAATCCATCTTAAGCTCTGAGTTACCAATGGATTACATCACACATCACACAAAATGAAATTTCCTAAATGTAAGTTTTAAGACTATTACATATAAGAAAAAGAAAAAAAAAATTAACCATTAATGTGGAACTTACATATAAATTGGGTTCTCTCAAAAATGGATACTCGTATACTGTCCAAGTTCAGCGTGACTATCTGCCATCAGTAAAATATTAATTAACTCACAGTACCATCAATGACAATAAAATAATACTGATACCTTTGGCCCCATAGTAACGGCTACAGCATCGGCTAAAAGGTCGACACCTTGAAGCATTAAGGCTCGAGCCTCGGCACCGAATTTTACATCTTTGGCGTAAGCCCGAGTGAGATGAGGAGCCAGCGCCCTGGACACGGGCCTCACCTGGCGAAGGACTGTGTGCAATCGAAGCATTTCTGGGGAGCGGAGGAGACAGGCATGTCAGGGGTACATCCACACCCGCACCCCCCGAGGCGCCACCCGCGCCACCGAACCAACGGCGGACGGGAACCGGGCTGACCTGTGCCAGCCCCGATGCCCGGGGCAGCCGTCTGCAGCCAGGGCCCTGCCCCCGCTGCCGCTAGCGAAAGCGCGTTCATCTTCCGCTGCTGAAACGGCCGTGAGAGCCAACCCCTCCAACGCGCCCCAAGACCCCGAGTCCGCGGGAAAGGAGGTCGTGAACCCGGGGGTCAGCGGAGCAAAAATATCCCCGACTCTGCAAAAACCTTAGCAAAATGTGTCCCCGGGGCCGCCGGCTAGGCCGCTGCACCGGCTGCTCGGCCCGGCCCACCCCGCGGGGCCCCACGTGTCTCCCCATCCGAACGCCCCGAGCAAGGTCAAGGGTGCAGGCGCCGCACCCCGCCCAGCCCGCGGGGCCCGAGTTAGTCCCCACGCGGCTGCGACCCCTCTCCCCGCAGCCGGCCTGCCGGGGGCTGCATCGGGAGGCCCTAGGGGTGCACCCTCCCCGACCGCCACGCACTCCGGGCCAGCCCTCCCCCCCGCGCCTGCCCGGCGAGCGACCCACGCCGCACGTGACGGGCACCGCATGGACCCGACCCGCGGGGCCTGGGCCGGCCGATCCGGGCCTGCGGCGCCGGGGGGAACCCGAGGCTCGCCCGGGCCGACCCGCCCAGGCCCCATCGCAGCAGGGGGAGGGCCGCTCCGGGGTCCCGGGCGCCGGGGGGAGGCGGCGCGGGCGGCCGCGTACCTGCGGGGCAGCGGCAGGGCGTGCGGGCGGCGAGGCGGGCCGTCGGCGGCGAGTGAGGGACAGAGTGCAGGGCGCACACGGCAATGAGCTGGGCCCCTCCCGCCAAGCTCCCCGCCCCGCGGCCACGCGTGCGCCGGCGCCGCCCCCGCCCCCCGTCGGCCCCGGCCCGGCAATCGGCACCGCGGCGCGCAGGCCCCGCCCCTCCCTACCCGCGCGGGGCCCGGCCGATGGCCCCAGCCTTCCCGGCCGACTTAGGCTAGTTCCGGGGCGGCGCTCTGTTCTAGAACTTTCCGGAAGGGGCCGCGCGCCCTGTGGGTCAAGGGTTAAGTGGCGTCACTTCCGCGAGGGGGCGCGGGGAGCGGACTTTCCCCCGGGCAGGCGGCCTGGAAAAGCCTAGAAAAAGCTCCTCTTTTCTCCCGCCTCCCGGTCGCCGCGGAAGTGGGCGGCGCCGAGGCCTCGGGGCCAATCGTAGCGCGCGGCGCGGCTGCCGCCCTCCGGGGGGCGGGGCGCGGGGCGGGCGCCTGCGCGCTGGGCGGCCCCGGGTTCACGTGGCCAGCGGCGACTGCGGCTCTCTCCTGGCGGCCGCGGCGCGACAGCGGAGCACGGGCGGCGGCGGCCGGAGTCATGGTGAGCCCGCGTGGGCACCGGTCGGCCCGGGGGCGGGGACCCCCGGCCGGTTCTCGTTGGCAGGGGCAGGAGTCGCTCAGGGGCCCGCACCGGCCCGACACCTGGGGACGCCGGGTCCCCCGACTCTTCCTCCGCCGCGGGCTCTGGGCACGCGCGTGTGCAGCGGGCGTGGGGCCGGGGGGCGGGAGCCGGGACGCGCTCGCGGCCATCCACCCGCTGTCCCCAGCAGGGCCTCCGTGGACGGGCGATGTCGGGCAGAAAGCGTGGCCCTGGGCGGAGCGGTGGACTTGAGTGTCTGCTGGAAGTGCCCTAAGGGAGGGAAATGCTTGACCTTGGGATGCACGCAGGTCGCCTTTGGAAGCCCGTCTGGCTGAGGACCCTCCGGAGGGGACGGGGCAGGACCTGGGCGGGTGCGCGGGGCCGTCCGCAGGTCTCCCGACCGAGCAGTCCGAGCTGCGATCTCCGTCCCGTTCGCCGAGGCATGGCCTGTGCACGGCATGGCCACGGCCGCTGTTCCCACCCGGGCCTTTCCCTCCCGCAGGCAGGACAGGCCTTTCGGAAGTTCCTCCCCCTCTTCGACCGCGTGCTGGTGGAGAGGAGCGCCGCGGAGACCGTCACCAAGGGGGGCATCATGCTGCCGGAGAAAGCCCAGGGCAAGGTGCTGCAGGCCACCGTCGTCGCCGTGGGGTCCGGCTCCAAGGGAAAGGTAAACCGGAGCTAAGTTGCAGCTGTTTGTGTGTGTGTGTGTGTGAAGTGGAAGGGAAGATAAATCCTTGGTTGTTATTAAAAGTAGCCCTTTAAGTAGCTGGTATTGTTTTCGGGTCGTTTTCTTAGTTCCGTCCCGTCTGATCTGGCTCTTTAATGAAAATGATCGTAAAATGAAGTTGCTCGTTTTTACGTGGAGAGTCGGAGAAGATGAAAACAGAATTATGCTTTTCTATTGCTGAAGGCGGGCCTTTAAGAATCGGGCTACTCTAACTCTGAGGCTGCCCTACCTGACAACCCCCCCCCCCCCACACACACACACCTTTTCCCTTACTTGGCTTACCTGTGAAGCTAACCGGTTGCACTGTGCCTTCCAGGTATCCTCCAGGTAACTGTTAGATCTCAGCCTCTCCAAGTGTCACCCTGAATACACAGATAATGCCCTTGGGGTCAAATATGGGAATTGCATTGTTGCAAGTTGCCTGCAAGAAAGTTCTAGCAAGGAGCCAGGAATAGGAAGCCTGTAGGAAGCGAGCCCTGCGCTTTAGTCCCTGTCTCTCTCCAGATCTGTTTTTGAGAAAAGGAAATTGAATCCCAAAAGCAGTCTGTTCCAGCGCAGGACGTTTTTCTTACGTTTTTGAATGCTGAATTAAACATGACCGTGTGCACATGGTTTTAAAAACTGGCTTATTTCAAACGGTCCGGTCCATAGGTTATGTTAATATTTAACCATTAAAAAATTAGCTCAAGTTAGCTTTTTCCCTGTATGACTTCTTGAACTTTCACACTGAAGTCAGGTTTTAGTTTAAGCCACCGTGTGGGCAATGTTTCAAAATGTAACTAACTCTCCAGTGATGCCTTGGAGTGAAGAACTAAGCTTGTAGATACCGTATCACTTCACTGCCAAGTCCTTTTTCAACACTTGGCTTGAGGGAGCACATGTGATTAACCCCCGTTAGGTGTGAATGTTTGTGAGCTAGATGTTTTTGCTAATACATATCCTTATTTTCTGAAGGGTGGAGAGGTTCAACCTGTTAGCGTGAAAGTTGGAGATAAAGTTCTTCTTCCAGAATATGGAGGCACCAAAGTAGTTATAGACGACAAGGTGTGTAAACTTAATGTATTTTCTTAAAAACTTAGTAATTTTAAAAAGTTACATGTTTGCTTTTTTTTTTCCTTAACTAATGGTTTCTCTATTTGCAGGACTATTTCTTATTTAGAAATGGTGACATTCTTGCAAAGCCTGTAGACTGAAATGAAGAACTATTGAAATGGCAGCACCTGAAGCTGCCCATTCCATTGAAGTTCTGAAATCTTTCATCATGTAAATAATTTCCGTGTCTCTTTTATAATAAACTAATGATATCCAAACTGATGACATCCAGTGTCTTTTAAAATTTAGTTTCACTGTACTGATATAAACATTTCCAAATAAAAATATATGAATAAATGGTTTTAGGGTTCTCTAGTTTATGCTTTTTTCTTAAGTAACCTGCAAAGAATTCTGGGAAACAAGGCTTTCAGTTTTCACATTGAATTTAGCCTTAGTACATAAATATTTGATACTGATACAAAGCCATGAATTTACAGTTACATTTTTTAAAAAAAATATATTTTATTGATTTTCTACAGAGGAAGGGAGAGAGACAGAGAGTTAGAAACATCAATGAGAGAGAAACATCAACCAGCTGCCTCCTGCACATCCCCCACTGGGGAAGTGCCCGCAACCCAGGCACATGCCCTTGACCGGAATTGAACCTGGGACCCCTCAGTCCGCAGGCCAACGCTCTATCCACTGAGCCAAACCGGTTTCGGCAGTTACATTTTCTTTGAGAGGCAATAGGCACTTATTTGAGATGCAAAAGAACAGAATCTGTTGACATAAAAAACATCCAAACCTATAAGAGTTGGTACTCCCAGAATGGTAGTTTGCAGGGTTTTTTAATGCATTGGAGAGTAAGGAAGATTACATGAATGTGGGAGAAGGCAATAAGAGGATTGGATTACAGATAGTTAAGACTGGTCTTGAGGGTGGGTGGCTTTAGAAGAGAGTTTGAAAAGAAGCATTTCAAAGGTGTGTTGATCTATTTAGATGCACAGACACAAGACAGGGCTTGCTTAGGCAAAGATAGGCCTTTTTCCTATTCTATGCCTGGGGTGTAACTACCCACCATGACCTGCCCAGTTAGGATTTTATGATCAGATCACCCTGTGAGATTTGCCATAGAACCACTCCTCTGTGCACAAAGCTGCCGCACACCCGTTCAGACAAACTCAAATGGTGTTCCAAAAGAAGGTGAGTAATTGAAAAGAAGGAAGGGATTTCTGCAGGTGCAGGTAAGCTAACAGTGATGCTAATTCTAAAGAGTGTTCATGGGGTATGACATCTGCTTTTTGGTAGCGTTGGAAACAGCTTGGAATAAAAACTGCTTTGGGCCCAGTACAAAGGTTTATTTGCCCACTTGGAACTTTCTAAAGGGTTGAAGAGTGAGACTTGCAAGGCAGTTCCGCTGGGGTGACAGCTTCCACTTCTAAAAGTACCACTGTGTATATTTTCACGTTAGGGTCTAGTGAGGTGAGCTGGGGAGGGCACTGCTACACGCAATGACTTAGCATCCCAGACTACCTCCTAGCCCAATTGTCCAGGACGGTTGGAGCCACTGCATAGAGAAGCACATACGGCATTTATGGTCCAGGTCTAGAACTTAATCCCTCACTGGTGTTGGTTAGGAAATTCCAGACGGAGTGGCGTAAAATTTCACTCCTGGGAGAGGCTGAACCATGAAAATGTCTAAAAAATATTTTAAAAAGGTGAAGTCAACAAGCCTTGGCCAGAGAGCTCGCTTGGTGAGAGCCATGGCCTTATATGCCAAGGTTGCTGGTTTAATCCCGGATCAGGGCACATGCAAGAAGTAACAGATGAATATACAAATAAGTGGGATAACAAATGAATGTTTCCCTCTGTAAAACAAAACGAATTTTTTTAAGTCAACTAGCAACCTAACTGTAACAAGCTTATATTGAACTATAATTCATTTGTGGAATCTAGTGTCATACTAAGTTTTATATTTATAAAAATTTGATGAACATTTCCAGTTTTTAAATGTTAATACAGGAGGGGGCAGGGGAGAACGGGAGCGGACTAGAAGAGGTTAATGGGGGGGAAAAGGAGGACCTATGTAATACTTTCAACAATAAAGATTAAAAGAAAAAAAACGTTAATACTACCATATAATTTACTTGGCCAAAAAAATCCAAGGCAAGGTGTATGATAGCAACCATTGGCTAAGTGCCTTGTATATGCCGGGATAGGCAGTGTGATAAAAATTACAGTTCACACGTCAGGAGCATTTTCTAGGTTCTGGCTTCTGTTGCAGGTACTCCGCATATATCAATTGGTTTAATTTTTCAACAACCCTATGAGCTAGGCTACTATCATTCTCCTCTTGTCCATGAGGAAGGTGAGGCACAGAGGGTCCAGTGATAGCCAAGATCACCTAGCAGGAAGTGGCAAAGCCAGGAATTGGATTTAGGTAGTCAACCTCCAGCTGCTACTGTCTGAAACTTCATCCTCTCTGGACTCTGCTACTTTTGTCAGCTAATTCTAAGCACTCAATACACATTTCAATCCTGGTGGTAACCACTGTGGCATGGGAAGGGTGTGTGTGTGTGTGTGTGTAGATGTCTGGCAATTAGTAGGTATCTAATACATAGTTTGTTGAATTTAACAAATAGGAAACTGAGTCACAGAACTGGATAAGTAGCTTGATTTAGCTCTAGCAGTTAGGGAGAATGAAGATAAGAACCCAGATAATCCTACTCGAGTTGAATACCACCCCCTAAAATCAGCTATGAGATATTTCTGTGTTCGTGATCAAATTTGTTTGAGTTTCTTATAAACTATTCGGATCATGTCTTAAAAGTTGTGTCCCAGCCTGACTGGTGTGGCTCAGTGGTTGAGTGTTGACCTAGGAACTAGGAGGTCGGGGTTGGAGTCCCGGTCAGGGCACATGCCCGGGTGGCAGGCTTCATCCCCAGTGAGGGACATGCAGGAGGCAGCCGATCCATGATTCCCTCTCACCATGGATGTTTCTGTCTCTCTCCCTCTCCCTTCCTTTCTGATATCAATAAAAACATTTTTTTAAAAAGCTGTGTTCCAAAAAATAAAAAGTTGTGTCCCATATTTTCCTTGTAAAATTGAAATCTAAATGAAGTAAATGGCATGGAATATGGTCTCAGCTTTTGATAATACTTCTATCAGTAAAGTAGTAAGTGTAGGTATTTGCATTTATGTGCAAGGCATTTAGTGGCATTTGTTATACTGCGGGTTAACTTTTGTTTTATTTAGGTACAAGAATTATGATTAAAAGCTCTACTTTTACAGCACCCAAGTGGGTCATCAGTTTCCTACTGTGCAAAGCTAGATAATGGGCTTTGCAGATCCTAACCTTGTAAGCTCCGGTTTCCCTCTGTTATCAGTAAGAAAATTGAGTGGGAAGAGATGAAGAAACTTGTTCAAGGCCATGAGGCTGGTAACTTGCAGACTTAGGAATCTAGGCCAAAGGCCCTGGCTGTCCCATTCCCCCAAGTTTGTTTTCTGAAGACCCAAGTAAGTACAAGAGTTTTGAGATCTAAGATGACAGTTTCCAAACCTTGGTTCATCCAAACCTGGTGTACTTAAAATGTCAGAGCTCTATTCATAACCTAAATCAGAAGGATGAGAGAATTTTTTAAAAAATTTTTGTTGTTTTTTTTGCACCACAGAAATAGTCCTGTGATGCTGGTTTAGCAGAATTGGTAAAGAAAGAATTTCGCGCTAAGATTCTGTTGGGAATAGGCAAAAAAAATTGTGACACGAGAAAGACCCAAAATAAGGACATTGTGGGCATGGACCAGGTTTCAGAACAATATGTTATGTACTGTTTGTTCAACAGAAAAATAATAATGATGGTAAAAGGTAAACAAACTATGTATAATTCTAACTGGAATTTTCATAATATAATTTTTGAGCGCTTGCCAGGCATTTGTGCTAGCACTTAACATGTCATCTTGCTTAATTGTAATCATAGCAACCCTGTGAGGCAGATACTCTTTGCCTCATGGGTGAAAGATGTACAGAGAAGTAGAGGAACTTGTTCAAGGTGACAGAAATTTTAAGTCATAGGTAGGAATTGAACTCAGGTTTATCTGACTTCAAAGTCTGCCTTCCATATTCTACACAAAAAAATTAGGAAACTGAAATTAAAATTACCCAGGGAACTATTCTATTGTACAAATATTATCATTATTAAGATTATGGGTTTTTTCTTTTATTGCTTCAGAATGTATATGTTACAAAAATATTTTAAAAATTGGGAAATAGGATATTTTTCATTTTTTATTTAATTGTGGCAAGAACACTTAATATGAGATCTACCCTCAATAGATTTTTAAAAAAATCCTCACCAGAGGATATTTTTCCATTGCTTTTCAGAGAGAGCGGAAGGGAAAGAGGGAGGGACAGAGAGAGAGAGAAGCATAGATGTGAGAGACGCATCAACTGATTGCCTCCTGCACATGCCCCCTGACCAAAGGGATAGGGAGCAAACCAGAAACCCAGGCACGTGCCCTTGACCAGGAATTGAATTCGAGACTCTTCGGTGCAAGGGCTGACACTCTAACCATTGTGAAAAACTGGCCAGGGCTACCCTCAACAGATTTTTAACTGTAATATTGTTGATTATAGGCACATTGTTGTACAACAGATATCTAGAACTTTTTCATCTTGCTTAACTGAAACATTATGTCTGTTAATTAACTTTCTGTTTCCTCTCCCCCTTCTCTGGCAACCACCATTCTACTTTTTGCTTCTAAGAGTTTGACTATTTTATTTTTTTAATAAATTTTTTATTGATTTCAGTGAGGAAGGGAGAGGGAGAGAGAGATAGAAACATCAATGATGAGAGAGAATCATTGGTCGGCTGCTTCCTGCACAGCCCCCACTGGGGACCAAGCCCACAACCCAGGCATGTGCCCTGACCTCCTGTCACCATTCCATTGGTACATAGGTTGGCACTCAACCACTGAGCCACACCAGTCAGGCAAGAGTTTGACTATTTTAGATACTGACCTCACGTAAGTGTAATCATGCAGTATTTGACTTATGATTGGCTTTTTTCACTTAGCACAGTGTGCTCAAGGTTCATCCATGTTTTCACATGACAGGGTTTCATATATATTTCCCCTAAAATGTATACACACTTTAACAGCTGACAGCTCAATTTTGAAAATGAAATGTATTTTAATAGATACTGCCATTATAATTATTCAGTGTGTATACATTTTTTGGGGCACCGTATATATATATTGGTTGACTGTTGACTTATCTGTATATAAAAAGCCAGCGACCATAATGCTGTAATAACCATAATGACCGGTTGCTATGAGGCCCACTGTGGCCAGTGAACCAGCCCCA